TTTAAACGAGCAGATTATGTAATAAATGTCAGGTCAAAAGTAGAAACAACCGAGGTTGATATAAAAAATTTGTAACTTGCACGTATGAATCTTGAAAATATTTAACTTTTTAAAGTGAGAAAACTTTAAAGAGTATTAATGAACTACTATAAAACTTAGATATGAAAATTTTTTTTTTGATATCAAATTTGGTGGTTTCTTCCAAATGATCTTTATACTCACTAACTTAATTAAACAAACAAAATTAATATTGTTTAATGCTTAAATATTTAAGAATAAGGGTTTCAGATTTTATTAGTAGACGTAATAAACCTTTTTTATATACTCACAAACTAAATTAACACAATAAATGGTTTGTGTTTATTTTTAATGATATACTTAATTTAAATATGTAGAAACCTCATTAAATGTACCCTCTATAAATATAACTTTCTATGACCCTATGCGTTGATGATAGTCACGCTAGGGTTATTATCGTGAGGATCACCCAAATTTGTAGGCTTGTGTAATAATTATTGGTAAATATGCATATTGGCATAGATTATAGAGTGATAGTGCTTTTTTACTTCGCTTGTATTGTTCGCTTGTTCTCTTTTACCCGATTACGATCTGGCTTTTTCATGCTTGAACAACGTGTGCTCCAAAACAAGAAACACAAAATACAAATAAACAAAAGGAACGTACAGACCTCAAAATAACAAAAACAAACAACGAAAACAAAAAAAAAAAAAAAGAAAGAAAAGATAAGGAAGAGGAAGTGGAAAAGAGAAATTATGTCTGATACCAACCTTTCAAAAAATGACTTGGAGGAAATCTGCCGAGGCTTTCGCATTTCTACAGAAGGAACCAAAGCTGAGTTAGTACAAAGAATAAGGGACTATTCAAGTGCTGAAAATCGTACGAGACCTGAACAAACTGTAAAATCAAAAAGGGATACATATCTTGTTGGTGAAGAGGATGGTTCAGTGAGTTCAGAATATCCAAATTGAAGTACATGAAAACAATTCCCAAATGCAAACATTAAGGGAACACATACAAAAGTCAAGGGGAAAAACAAAAATTCCACGATCAAGATTCGCCACCCCTCAAGATGAGGAAGGACAAAGCTCGCAACATCATTTAGTGAAGAATACATATGAAACGTTAAAGAATGTGAGAAAATGCAGGCTTCATGAAGAAGACGAAAATGAAGTGGCCATTCAGGTGTAAGACACCCGCCAAAGAGTGGAAATAAATGATGCTTGGCCAACTCACAAATTTGAGAGATTCTGTGACCAGCACGAGTATGATACATTACACATAGTAGGAAAAGAACTTGACCTAGCTGTAGAGTCAAGGAATGTTCATGATGCTGTAAACCATATAGATATAGCTCGAGAAAAAATCACAATAGAATGTTTACATTATGGGTAGCTGAAGGATATGGCTGGGAGATCGTATCAGCTTTACCTGATACACAAGACGAATGGTTAAAAGGAAAAGACGATCTAATTGAGAAAGCAAAAACTCTAGCAGATGTCAGGAAAAGTAAACGACAAAAAACTCGAAACTTAGTGAAAGGTAACTACCAAGCAGGGGACAATTACCATAAAGCCCACAAGGCGGAAATTCAAGCTCTAGCAAGTTTTTTCACCCATACAACCAGTCCCAAAACCGTCCCTCAACTACTTCAGGCAAATGTTACATCTGTGGAGACCTCGGCCACTTTGCAAACGCATGCCCCTCCGATTCAAATGGAAATACCTTTAACTACCGTTCACGTGGATATTCAACATATAAAAACAGATTTAATAAGCCACAAGAAAAT